ACTCAGCAGCAAGTGACTTTATTAACTTCTCCCACCTGTGGTGCCTTCTTCTCAGCTGGAAGGGAACAGCTGAGCAATTTTTTTTTTTTTTTGCTTTGTTTATGACAAAGAACTGCTGAAAATAACAAAATTCCAGACTTCCTCGAATACTATTACAACATACAAAGCCAGCTGCGGCACCCAGCTAAGTCGATATTTCCAGTTAGAAAAAGGAGGGGGTCTGCAGGGCTGTAGTCTTTTCTCCCCCCTTCTAGAGCAAGGTGGAAAGAAAGGTGTGTGACATTCCCTCTGCCTGACAGGCCTTTCGCTTAGGCAGATGTTGACACGGCAGCTGATGCTTTACACACATGGTAAGATGGTACCAAGCTGGAGGATGTTTATTAGAGCTCTTTCACATAAGAACTCGAGAACAAGTCTTTTGAGGCTTGATAAAAGGAAGCCTCAGAGTGGAATAGCACCAGCATAAGCTGTTACTATCTTTTAGGAGCAGACGTCTTCTCAGGGCTTCATCTTACCCCCTGAGAAACACCCATGGTGCAGGGGTGAAGCAGCACAGAGGGCTGCAGGCCAGCAGCTGGGGAGCCCAGCCCTGCTCTGTACACCTTGCAGAGATGCCTGGAGTCCTGTTGTGGATTATAATCAAAGACAAGCAACACAGACATTCAAACAACAAAATGCACACATTCTTTACAACACAATAAGGAACAGTCTCTTTGGCTGAGAGAGGAAGAAGAAAAAGGAACAGCGTACAGCAGTCTCCTCTCAAAGCATTGTAAAGCTAGCAGTTTCTTCTGTGTATGTATCAAAAGAAGCTTCATGCTTCCACACCTTCATCTCATAAATCAATTTTCTCACCAAAGAACCAACACTGACTTCTTACACACAGCCACATATTAAATCTTCGGCATTTGCCCACCTGCAGCAGTAGATAAGCTTTCTTAAAGGAAATCTCATTCCTTGCCTTGCTACTCCACAGGAATTCATCCTATGTCACTTTATCCATCCGCACCACAGTCAATAGCTCAATACTCAGGTTCAGTTTAAGAACAGAGACATGCTTCAGCTCCACATGTCGAACAAGAGTAGGTCCAGTCAGCTGGTCCCTTGACAGCACAACAAAGCACCAGCACACAATTGTTCCAGCTTGCCCGGAGCAAAGTTCGCAGTTGGATTTTCTGGGAACACAGGCACGGTGTACAAGGCACGCTCATTAGCCCGATCAGACAAGCGGTGCCATGGGCACAACCTCCTTCTCACCATCCACAAGCCTCATCTGCTACCTGGAGGCGTTAAGCCAAGCGACCCAGAGAACAGCACGTGCTTGGTTTAACCCTGCCCTAAAGCCAGTGGGGTTTTGTATAGAAGCTGACCCAAATCCATCAATACGTCTCGTAGCAGTTTCCCAGGAGTTCACACACACCTCCGGGCCAGGCTCCGCGGCGGGTTTGAAACCGTGAGGCTCA